TTTTAAAGACATCTTTATTGCATATGATTAACCAACCTGCAATTCACCCACTTAAAGTGGACCATTCAGTGGTTCTTAGTACAGTCACAGATATGTATGTGCAGCAACACATTTGATTTCAGAACATTTTTATCACCTCAAAAAAAATCCCCTATTTTCCCTTCTCCTACTTCACTTATCCCCCATACCCATTCCCCAATCCGAAGCAACCACTAATTGATAAACTGTATTTGTAGATTTGTGTCATCCAAACAGTTCATATAAATGAAATCTCACTTAGTATATTGTTTTCAGGGTTCATCTGTATTGTGACATGTTTTGTTGCTTCATTCCTTTTTAGGGCTGAATAATACTTATTGCATGGGTAGAACACATTTTGGTTATGCAGGGGTCATTCCCACCCTTTGGGTATTATGAAGAGTATTCCCACCCTTTGGGTATTGCCAGGAGCATCGTGTGCAGGGTTTTGTGTGGATATCTATTTTCATTTTGGGTGGGTTGTATAAATAGGAGTAGAATTGCTGGGTCACGTGGCCATTCAGTGTTGAGTCGTGTGAGGGTCTGCCAGACTGGTTTGCAATGTGGTACCACCATTTTCCATTCCCACCAGCAGTGTAGGAGGGTTCCTGTTCCTCCACAGCCTCACCAATTCTTATTATCTGCATTTTTGGTTACAGCCGTCCTGGTGGGACAAAATGGCTCCTCCCTGTGGCTTTGATTGGCACTTCCTTGATAACTAGTGATGTTTAAAACATTTGCCTTATGTTTGTTGAACCTTTTTGTAACTCTTGAAAAAATAATGTTTATTCGGCTCTTCTGCTCATTTCTATTTTTGTTTGTTTTTAAAAAATTTATTTATTTGAAAGGCAGAGTTAAAGAGAGAAAGGGAGGGAGGGAGACAGAGTGAGAGAGAGAGATCTTTCATCCACTGGTTCGTTCCCCAAATGATCTCATTGGCCAGGCCAAAGCCAGGAGCCAGGAGCTTCTTCCATCCACTGACTCACTCCCCAGATGCCTGTAACAGCAGGGCCTGGACTAGGAATTAGGAGTTCAGTCTGAGTTCCCACATGGCTGGCAGGCACCCAAGCACTTGTGGAATCACGTGTTGCGTGCAGAGTGCACATAATCAGGAAGCTGGAGTCAGAAGCAAAGATGGAACTCCAGCCAAGGAACTCCAATCAGGGATGCAGGTGCCCCACAAGACGTTTTAACTGCTATGCCAAACCCTGTCTCCAAGAGTTATTACTACTGAATTCCAGACCTTATCAGATATGTGATTTAAAATGCTTTCTCTCATTCCGTCAATTGTCTGGATAGTGTCCTGCAATGACAATTAAAAAAAAAAACAAAAACAGTTTTATCTGTTCCAGTTTGTGGGGAGCAGCCCGGACTGGACTGAGTTACTGGAATTAAGACTTATTCTATGCATCTGCTCTCCCACAATATGGCACTGGGAGAGAAGTAAACAGCTTCCGCACAGCTGCCTCCAGTTCAACCAATAAACTGTAGGACTTGCTCCTGATTGGAGGAGAGCGGCGTGCTCGGCGTGTGGGCAGCCGAGTTGGGATTGGCAGAGGAGGACTATAAAGGAGGAGAGAGACGGCATGCACCAGGAACATCTAAGGGGAACATCTAGCTGAAGGAACGCCTGTGCAGCCCCCGAGAAAGCCGGCCGGCGGTGTGCCGCTCCCCTGCGGAAGTGGGGAATGTGGCCAGGGGGAACTGCCCTTCCACGGAGGTGGAAGGGATAGTAGCCAACCCGGGAAGAACCAGCAGCGAACCCGGGGAGGGCCGAGCAGACAAAAGAACAGCGCAGGGTCCTGTGTTGCTCCTCCACGAAGAGGGGGAGCGACATAATGGTGCCATGACTCGGATATGAAGCCTAGGCAGGGTTTAGTGTCACTCCTCCACGAAGAGGGGGAGCGACACAGTTGGTCTGGGTTTTTTTGTTTTTTTGTTTGTTTTTTGTAGCTTATGCTCTTGGTATCATACTTAACAAAAACCAAAGCTGTAGTCAAATCTAAAGTCATGAAGATTTACCCCTATGTTTTTTTGTAAGTATTTTATAGTTTTAGCTTTTACGTGTGGTCTTTCACCCAGTTGGAGTTAATCTTTGCATTTGGTGTGAGGTACAGGCTCACTCAGCTTTATCCTCCCCATGTGGACATCCAGTTGTTGCAGCACCATTGTTGGAGAGACTGTATTTCTCCACTGAATGGACTTGGCACACTCATTGAAAATCAGTTGACTGCAGCATATGCATGCATCTGTGGACCTTCCATTCTGGCCCATTGGTCTGTGTGTCTGTCCTTATGCCAGTGCCCCACTGTGCTGGTTACTTTAGCTTTCTACTAGATTTTGAAATCAGTAAGTGTGTTCTCCAAGTTTCCATGTGAGTAGCGTTCATTGCAAGGACAGAGGAGATCATGCCATCCGTTGAGTGGGGATAGCTCTGCTTCCTTCCTCCCTGCATTGGCCCCTTTTCTGTCCTGATACTGGGTGGCACGTGTTGCATGACGGCGACTGCTTGTCATGGGAGCAGCTTTCCTCGTGTTGTTCCTGACCTTAAGGGAAGCCCTGCAGTCCGGGATGACGCACGCTGTGAGCTGTGGGGGATTCTTCACCCAGGCCCTTCTTTTCCCCGCTCTTTGAATGTGTTTATCAGGAAAGGAAATTGGATTCTTTTAACTCTTTCTTAAATACATTTTAATTCTAGCACCTCATGTAAAAAAAATAATAATTGGCCAAGATGTATGAAGTCATCTTTCTTATTATTTTATCTGTTGCTGTTTATTATACATACTCTGTATTCTTTATTTTAATTCCAAAGCAAATATTTTCCCAGTTTCTTTTATTTCTTCTTGAAACTCTTCACCCAACCAGAAGGTGAAAGAGTTTTCCTTTACATCGTGGACACTGGGGTTCTGTGTCGGAGGACACTTCCGTCGCCTTGTCGTCTCCCTCTGTATTTGAGCCAGGACAGGTCTGTTCTGAGTGCACGAACTCCTGAATGTTCAGCCGCCCCCTTCCGTGCTGTTAGGATTCAACCTCATCTTGATCTAGAGCGGTCCTCGTGGCACAAAGGCCCGTGCCTGTTTAACACATGCACGGAGCTGAGGAGTGGCTTATCCGACTGTGGGGAAGAGGACTTATATCTGCATACGTGCCCTGAACCAGCCCCCTCCCGCGTGCACTCTTGCTGCTGTCACAGCGCAGGAAGCAGTGCCCAGCGTCCTGCACCGTGCCATTCCTGAGCCCAAGTGGAGCTCCACAGTGCAGGGGGACTGAGAAGCACAGGTTCAAGGGTGAAATGAAATGGCCTCCCTGTGCCCCCCCCATTCCCCCTCCCAGTGAAAGATCATGACAGAAGAACTTAGAGGTCAAAGAAGGTTGGAAATGAGGTTGACCGTTCCTGCCCTCAGTGAAGGCACCGAGTCTCCGACATCAGGTCAAAAGCATCTCTCTGTGCCTCCTGTGCACACATCACATTTAGATTCCCTATAGTTGCTCTATTATTACATTTTACAGATTGTGAAACTGAGGCCAGGAGATAATCAATCGCATTGCAAGGTCGCACAGCTGCTGAGCGGTGAAGTCAGCAGGAAAGCACAGCCTGACTGTGGATCCCTGCACGGCTCCAGCCACCCTTCCTCCCACAGCTGACCTGACCCTGCCTCTCCCTCCGCCCAGGGCACATCTGAACTCAAAGTATCAATTGTCTTTGAATAACCCTCCTGGCTCCCTTTGCAGCTGGGGGTTTGTATCACTCTGAGCTGCCCTTGGAGTATTTTCCTGAGCAAAGTGAATCTAGCTCCACTAGCAACTATCGTCCTAACTCAAGGAGTCCTCGTGGGATTCTTTGCATATAAAGTTGATCTTAATGAGCGTGGTTATTTTATGGATGAGAAACCCGAGCCCCAGAAGGATTAGGCAGCCTCCTCCAAGACACAGAACTCGCGATGGCAAAGCGAGGATGGGAGAGCTCGTCCTCACCTGGTTTGCTCCCCACTACACTTTCCAGGTAAACCATTTAGAAACTGCTGAAGTACAAATGCATCTGTCTTTCCTCACCTGCTCCCGAAGGCACATCCATCCTGCGAAGCCACAGGCAGAATCTGGCTTCCTCTTATTTAGCCTGCTTGATTTCTTCTCACACAGGAAAATGGAATGCACACCTTTAACCGAGCTGTTTCTCAAATGAGGCTGGATGACAAATACCTTTTTAAGTTCTTTTATTTGACATCCTATTAATTTTTTTAAACTCCCATTGTTTTGTTCTTGACAGACCTGCTATATTTCAGATGTGAGGCAGCAAACGTGCACTTGGAGGGAAACCTCTTCCATAAGCTGTTCTCGCCTCAGAGTACTGGTTTTTTTTTTTTTTTTTTTTTTTTTTTTTTTTTTTTTTTTTTTGAAAAAAGCAGAAGCCCAAGTTCACTCAGCTGGGTGCTCAAAGTCGTCATCAGTTTATCTGGCATGTGTAGTGGATGGAGACTTTTGGGTTGGACTCTTAGCAAAGCATGTGATACATTGTTCAACCATTAGGATGCTTTTGCCACCTGGATGTACACAAAGTTTGGTCATGGCTGGGGCAGGTGGCTTTCTGGTGCATGGGCAGTGTGCCCGAGGGGCAGCAGTGGAGCAGACTGACTTGGTCACACATGTCCAGCGTCCCACGGAAGACAAGTAGACTTTCCGTAGCAAGGCAGTGTTTGCATCCCAACTAACACCAATGCTGGTAAACACCAATTAGGCAGACGGTAGCCCTTGAATAAAAATCCCCTGGGCTGATTTTTAAAAGTCAGGTGGGGCGGCAGAGTGAAGCGTGGAGCAATTGCAGACTGCGCGGTCTTTCTCCTTCCCACGTGAAATCATTTGAAGAGACAGGCCAGAGCTTTGAACAGCGGATTCCGAGGGGCGTCATCATTTGCGTGTCGGCTGTCGTGACTGGAGCGTGTTCGCTGAAAGGACGTTTTTGTCGCCGTCTCTGTCCCCTGCAGACGTACTTCAACGACAATATCCTCACCCTGATACGGACCCTGGTGACCGGAGGGGCCACGCCGGAGCTGGAGGCTCTAATCGCCGAGGAGAACGCGCTTCGAGGGGGCTACAGCACCCCCCAGACGCTGGCCAACAGGGACCGCTGCCGCGTGGCCCAGTTAGCGCTGCTGGACGGGCCCTTCGCGGACTTAGGGGTGAGTTCACAGCTCGGGGGAGGTCACCTGCGCGCACTGTCTGGGCAAAGTCGGATCCGAGTAAACCTGATGTCAGACCCTGCCAAGCGGGGCTTCCGTCTTTTCTCCGTAAACAACCAGTGGAAGCGGGGTTCATGATTTACTGTGTATCACGCACTGTACTTTAGGTGTAGAAGTTCATTTCCATCTTTGATGGGTCTGTGGTCACTTACTCTAAGGCAGCTGGAGGCCAGAGAGGCTGAGACCTGACCCTAGGGGAATTTGCCCCGGGGCACCCCAGCTTGAGGTATGTGTGCTTAATTACTCTTCAGCTATTGTCCATTATGAGCTGGGAGGTGGCAGGTGATAGCAATACGTGGTCTGTGGTCCTCATTTCTACAGGGAATGAGTATAGCTCTCAGCTCCTCGCCCCCCACCATTCGCTAATGGCAGGCGGCCCATCCCACTTTCCACAGTCAGAGGTTCTGTCTCTGAGTATGACCTAGGCACTGGTGTTTTTCTTTTTTTTTTTTTCTTTCTAAGATTTATTTTATTTATTTGAAAGGCAGAGTTATAGAGAGCATATTCCCCCAAATGGCCAAAATGGCCAGGGCTGGGCTAGGAGCCAGGAGCTTCATCTGGGTCTCCCACATGGGTGAAGGGGTCCCAGCACTTAGGCTACCTTCCTCTGCTTTCCCAAGCACATTAACAGGGAGCTGGGTTGGAAGCAGAGCAGTGGGGACTAGAACCGGAGTCCGTTTGGGATGACGGCTTTGCAGGCAGCAGCTTTACCCGTTATGCCACAAAGCCGGCACTGGTTTTGCAAGCTCCGAGACACTCACGTTCTAAGACCCAGTGGCCAAACTGGGTCTCATGTGGCTCCTTTAAGGCCTCTGCTTCAACACCTAGGACCCAGTCACCCTCCTGCAGACCCTCCCTGCGACAGAGATGGCCAACACCTCCCTTTGGGACTCATGTACAAGCTGAGGTCCGGCACTTTAGCAGGAGACTGTGGCCCTGACCCCTGCTCCCAGCTCAGCCCCAGGGAGTCTTTCAAGAGGGAACCCTTGAACTGCACTAACAGTAGCTATCCAGAAAGTCCAAACAGCAGCAGTGTTGCCAAGGCAAAAAGCTGCCTCCATTTTTCTGAACCACAGAAGCAGACTGGCACCCTCTCTTAGTTTGGGTGTGGGCCAGGAACTTGGTTAGACTGGGCTTTTCAACAAGGGCACTTCTAGAGCCAGTGTCTGTACCTATCACCCATTAAAAAAGAGGGAGGAAAGGGGGAGAGACACCGGGTTCCCATCTGCTGGCCCTCTTCTTAAAACCTGCAGTGGCTTGAGCTGGGCCAGGGGAAGCTGGGAGCTAGACACTCAATCCCAGTATTTGGACCAACACATGCTGCCTCTCAGGAAGCTGGAATTGCAGGTGGAGCTGAGACTCAAAGCCACACACTCCGAGATGCGGTGCAGGGGCCCCAACGGTTGGCTTACCTGCCGCACCAAACAAGCACCCCTGGCCTTCCTGATAGGAAGCCCATCTGGAAATTCCCAGGATAAGAAGGATAAACACAGCGCCTTTCTGTCCCGTGGAGTCATCTTGCAGCGCCTCCTGGGTACTACTCCCTCCCTGGCGCCCCCTGGCTGCGGGCGGCCCGTCTCTCTAAGGCAGTGTGTCTGCTTTCCCCTTTCGCATTAGCGCTGGAAGCCGGGGAAGCTGGTGTGTGCTGATTACAACTGTGAATCCCAGCTCCCGGGGAAACACATTGTCTTCCATCCCTGCAAATTGTGCTTTTCACACAGTCCCTCCCTGAAGTTGTCTGTCACCCTAGGACCTGGTGGGGTCTTTTCTCCTCCTAGTGATTTCCATTAGCACTCAGCCTGTTTTGACAGCAGGAGCTGAGCACCAAGGCCACCATTGAGCTGGGGCAAAGCCTAATCCCCGTGTTGAGGAGCCAGTCTCGCCCCCTGCCCCATGGAGGGTACCTTAGAGACCTTCCACCCTTACCCCTCCCTTACAGTGAGAGGCTGACTCCTCGGAGCTCTCATTGCTGCTGGTAGAAAACGGGTGCGACCCCAGAGGAAAACTGCATTATTTTCTGATCCCTAAAATCCCACTGGTTGGGTGCAGGCTGTTAACCACGTTGGGTTCTTTGGCCACGGTCCCTTGACACAGACTCTGCAACCCGGCAGACACCAAGACCAGCTTTTACAGATAGGTTCTTCACCCCCTTGGAGCTCCACGTGCAGGCACGTAAAAATGATGTTTCTCTGTTCTTTCGTTGTCTCCCAGGACGGCGGTTGTTATGGTGACCTGTTCTGCAAAGCTCTGAAAACCTATAATATGCTTTGTTTTGGAATTTACCGGCTGAGAGATGCCCACCTTAGCACCCCCAGCCAGTGCACAAAGAGGTGAGTGTGCCCACTCTGCTCTCCCACCTAAGTGCCCCTTGCTAGCCCCGACCATAAAGGCAAAGGACCACGTAGGCACGCGCTTGCAACACGCAGATCACTGTGGCCACCTTAAATCACCCTGAGGTGGGAGGTTGTGGGAGACATTTCTCTTTACTTCTAATAGCTGGATGTAAAAGCCTTGTGGCAAGAATCCAAGTTCTGTAAAACAGTTCGCTTGCCCAGTTACAGAAGTCTCCCAAACCCTGGCTACTGGATAACCTCTGTGGGTGCCTAACAGAGCTATTTCACATCGCTGGTGTTTAAGATAAATGGTTCCTTTGCCATTTCTTAGAATCCTATATGCTTTACTGTGCATATTTTTAATTGATTCACATTTTTACTCTTATATATTTATTTTTAAGAAAATTGTATATTATCACCCTAAGCAGACAAATAACAGTTTAGGCATGCTGGTTACATTTTTTCTAATATGCATTAAAGTAAATTCATAGCAGGCAAAAATTAAAAGTGCATCCTAGAATTACTGAAATCAATGAGTTTGCATAATATACCCCAGGAAATAATGCCATAGAGAAGAGTGTTTCCCAGCTCTGTTTGCATTTTTTAATCACCTGGGGAGATTTTTAAAAATACTATGTTTACCCTGATTTAACTGGTTTGGAGCAAAAAAAAAAAATTGCAAATGAGAATACATCAAAAGGTTCATGGAAAATGGAATTAAAATCTACGTTTATTTTGATGCAAACAGTTTTTTAAATCATGCACACGAGTATGCACACATGTGTAAAAATAAATAAGAATTACATCTATATGATGCCCAGGAATTGCGGAGTACAGCCAGAGCTGGGGGCCACTGCTGTCTGTCAGTGGGTTCTCACAGTTTAGGGCGAGTGAGCATCTCCTGAGGACCTTGTTGAAACAAGAATTGCTGCGCTCTGCCCTCAGAGGTGACGATTGAAGAGGAGTGAGGGTCTCAGTTGGGTGGGCTAAGCATTGGCATTCTTCACTTTGTTGCTTGTGTCCTTTGCCGTGCAATAGCTTCTTAGCATCATGTAATCCCATTTGTCCATTTTTTCTTGTATTTCCCAAACTTCTGGGATCTTAGCCAAGAAGTCTTTGCCTAGGTCAATATCTTGCCGTGTTTCTCCCATGCTTTCCTCTACTAATTTGTTGGTGTCGGGACTTAGGTTTAGGTCCTTGATCTACTGTGGGTTGATTTTTGTGTAGAGTGTAAGGTAAGGGTTTTGTTCCAGACTTCTGCATGTGAGATTCAATTTTCCCAATGTGATTTTTTTTTTTCTTTTTTGGAAGAGACACTGTCCTTTTATCAGGGAGTGAATTTAGCTTGTCAAAGATTAGTTCTTGATATCTGGTATTGCAATGCCTCTGGTTTTATTTTTATTGTTTAAGATTGCTCTGGCTATTCAGAGTCTTTTGTGTTTCCGTATGAATTTTAAGATTGTTTTTTCTAGGTCTAAGAAGAATGTCCTTGCCATTTAATTGGGTTCACATTAAATTTGTAAATTGCTTTGGGTAGTATGGACATTATGATGATATTAATTCTTCTAATCCATGAACATAGAAGATTTTTCCATTTTTTGTGTCTACTTCTATTTCTTTCATGAGTGTTTTGTAATTTTTCTTGTAGAGATCTTTCACATCCTTGGTTAACTTTATCGCAAGTCACTTAAATTTTTTGTAGCAATTGTGAATGGGACTGAACTTACACGTTCTTTATCAGTCAGAGTACTATTGGTATATAATAATGCAACTGATTTTTGTATGTTGATTTTGTATCCTACAACTGTGCCAACTTCTCTTATGAATTTCAAGAGCCTCTCAGTGGAGTCTTTTGGTTCCCTTACATAAAGGACTATGTTATCTGCGAATAGGGACAATTTGACTTCCCCCTTTCCCTGTATTCCTTTAACTTCTTTTTCTTGCCTGATGGCTCTGGCTAAGAGGCAAGCAACACAATGGGAGAAAATATTTGTACACTATGCATCCGATAATGGATACATATCCAGAATATATAAGGGGCTCATGAAACTCAAACATCAAAACAAACAGCTCAATTAAGAAATGGGCAAAGGACATGCACAGGCATTTTTCAAAGGAGGAAATACAAATGGTCAACAGATGCATGAAAAAATGCTTGGGATCACTAATCAATAGAGAAATGCAAGAAAAACAGCAATGAGGTATCTTCTCACCCCAGTTAGAATGACTATCATCCAAAATATCAAAAAATAAAAAATGCTGGTGAGGATGTGCAAAAAAAAAAAAAAAATGCCCTAATCCACTGTTGGTGGGAACATGAATGAGTACGACCATTAAGGAAGACAGTATGGAGATTCCTCAGAAAACTAAAGATAGATCTACCACATGACCCAGTTATCCTACTCCTGGGAATACATCCAAAGGAAATGAAAGCAGCATTTGAAAGGGTTCCCTGCACTCCTGTGTTTTTGGCAGCTCCATGCACAATGGCTAAGATATGGAAGCAACCTTAGATATATTTTAGCTGATAAGTGAGTAAAGAAAATGTGGTATGTATACCTGATGGACTATTACTCAGCCATAAAAAGAATGAAATCCTGACATTTGTAGCAAAATGGATGCAGTTAGAGAACATTTTACTAAGTGAAATAATCCAGGCCCCAAAACAAAATACAATTGCTTTTTTTTTGTGGTAATTAACATATATAGAGAAGACAAGATGTCAGATCATTTGGATTATAGTTATAAATGTTACTTCACTGAGTCATAGCATGTAAATGACAATATATTCTTGTTTCACACGTTGAGAAAAAGAAATGGAGTGGACAGGAGTAGTAAGGACTTTGGGGGAACTACTAATGTTGTGTTCCTAATTTGGATGTTGGTTATAAGGGTGAGCAGATGACCAAAAACTCATTGATCTGTATACTTAAGTGCCTTTCTTGATACATATGCTGCATTTTAAGAAACTATTTTAAAAAATAAAAAAATGGATGTGCATTTTAAGAGTGCCCTGGTGATGCTGATGGGTTGGTCTAAGGACCTCACTTTGAGACCCACCGCTGTAGAGGAAAAGGTCATTGCCATCCCTTAGCGTGACCCAGAGTGCCTGATCTCATGTGGAAGAGCTGTAGAGACTGAGCTGACACGCAGGGAGCTGTGCTATGTTTTTCCATGGAAGTGAAGCTCCTCCCAATGATACTATAAGCAAAGATTAAGGGCTGTCGAAGGAGACTTTGGGTCCTGGTAAATAAAGATCTAGTGATGGGTGTCTGAGATGGAAAATTCAAGAACCAAAGTTACAGTGTAGTCCATGACACCTCCTGCCTGTGGGATGCTGGGGACTGAAAGTGAACATGATCCTCCATTGCAAGGCGCATGTAGACCCTAGGAAGCATGGTTTGGTTTTCCCATTTCTAGCTGTAACTCGGCATCTTTGCCTGGGTCACGTCTGGCCTCCTTAAACAGAGGAAGATTTCATCAAACTTGGAAGAGAATGCTAAGGTGTTGGACCAGCTAGAAGAGCAGTGATCCGAGCACACCTGGTTCAGGGAGCCACAAGTTCTCCATCCGGTTGCCCTCAGGCTGTGACATCTGTCTCTGCTTTCCCCATCTAGGTATGTCATCACCAACCCCCCCTACGAGTTTGAGCTCGTGCCGACGGACCTGATCTTCTGCTTAATGCAGTTTGACCACAACGCCGGCCAGTCCCGGGCCAGCCTGTCGCATTCCTCGCACTCGTCACAGTCCTCCAGCAAGAAGAGTTCCTCCGTGCACTCCATCCCGTCCACAGCAAACCGGCAGAACCGACCCAAGTCCAGGGAGTCGCGGGACAAACAGAAGTACGTGCAGGAAGAGCGGCTTTGATATGTGTATCCACCGCCACCGTGTGTGACACTGTATCTGCCGTTCATTTCCCCAGTTGCTGTCCCCAACAGAGTCACTTTCCCGTTCTCCCCTCTAGTCCCTTCCTCTTTTTTACACATATTTGCATATGTATGATAGTGTGCATGTGGTTGTCATTTTTATTTCACCACCATAAAACCCTTGAGCACGATGGCAAATAAGCAGACGGACCAAAACAGTTATTTATGATTCTTGCGGGGGGTGGGGGTGGGGGTGGGGGAGCCCCACAGCATGCCCCACACAGGAACAGCTCACTGCAGATGAGAAGGTAGCTCTTGCCATCCGTGTCGGTGAGGCAGAGCCAGTTTATTTCACGGGGCAGAGAATCAGAACTATTGGGGTGCTTTGGGTTTTGATTTTTTTGTTATTGTTTTCTTTTTTATACTCACACAAGAAGCTAGCACACATGTATTTGAAACAAGCTATCAAAAAAAAAAAAAATGAAAACTTACCGATTGTTTCCACTCTCTGGGCGGAAGTATCGCAAAGCCTTTGAAAAGCTTTCACAGTTTCTTAGATGAGTACTAAGCACCTACTTCCTGCAGGGGACATCGAGATTTTTTTTTTAGTTACTCACCAAGGCCTTCTGTCCCAGCGCCAGCTTCCTTTGGGAGTTCTGTGAACATTTCTCCCACTTACAGTGCAGGAAAGAATAGTATTCCATTCGTGGATGGATCAACTTCTAGTCATTTAGTTTAAGTGAAAAGAGGCTTGATTGTACATTAAATTGTTATTCTGTCTCCTTATGCTGCCATATGAATAGGATTTTTTTTCTTTCGCTTTTGACATTTGGGATGAAAAGCCATATGTATCATAAATATCAAATGTAAGTCATTAAAAACTGCCTTCCTGGGACTTTTACATCCTTTAAAAGGTGAATTACTTACCTTATGTACAGAATAAATAATGCTCAGGAAAGAGCAAGTATTTTTCCACGCATTCTCAGGGGAACTTTTTACTCCCCTTTGTTTGATCAGCAAGGGCCCCAGTGCAGGTAGGAGCTGAGGACTAGAGAGAGGAGAAGATACACCCAGTGGCAAATCATGTTTTTCCTAGGAGCCCACTTGCTAAATAAACCAGGATGTGGGAAGAGCCAGCCTCAGTGGTCTCAGCAAAGACCATAGCCAGCTAGGACAGCTGCATGGTGCTGGCTGGTGGAAAGAGAGCTGGGAGGACAGAATTCCTTGCCCTCTGTTTTTCTCACACAGCCAAGTCACCTAGGCAGGTGAGTGACAGCAGCAGAGGACTGCTCCTCCTTATTATGTGATGAGCAGTAAGAAGAATGCCACAGCGAGCCAACACTTTTCAGGATATTTTTTCTTTTGTTTTCTCTCTCTGTCTCTGTCTTTCTTTTTGCAATTAGGAAGCACGAGAGGAAAGGTAGAAAATTTCCCTTTTGGACATGGAGTTATCAGATGTTTCACACAAGCAGATCTTGCTTTAATCAGTGCATCAGATACTGAGCATTGGTCATCTCCACTATTACCCAACGCTCGTATGGATGGCCTAGCCCTGGGCTGGGAGGGGCATGCTCACAACATTTCCTTTCAAGAAGTCCATGAAAGCCAGTAGGGGTGAAAGGGAGGAGACCAAGTGTCACAGATGGACCTTGTCTAAGAAAAGGTGTTTTTATGGTGAATGTTTTGGGTTTAGATTTTGGATCCCCTGTCCCCTGCAGCATGACAGTTTGGAAGATTTGCTTGCTGTGTGAATTGACAAGCACTTTTACTGACAAAAAGAGTGAGGCTCGGTCACCACCCTCCACCTTCCCACATCAAAGACAGGGGCAGTGCAGTATTGAAAGCAGTTCCTGGGAGGGGAATACTTGTATACCTGTATATTAAAAAGCCCTAGGAGTGGAAGAATTTTTTTCAAAATTATTTTTGCCCCTCTATGTATTGATTTATGTATTACGTATAACTCTCTTTATATATAACTATATATATATAAATATATATGACTATATATAGATAACTATACCTACATATCCCCTAGTTTTGGATCATAAAGAGCTCTTTATGCATTCTTTGCATAGGAGGTTATAAAGTTATGCCCTCAGAACATTTATAACTATAAGAATGTGCCAGTTAAAGTGCTCAACAGGAAGTATGACACTTTAAAAGCGTTGTAAAACTCACATAGCTTACTTCTCTCTCTAAAGTGCAACAAGGATGAATAGGATGGGCCAAGGTATGACAATTAATGGTTCTGCATGACCTAGCCACTGCTGGGGGTTTTCTTCTATAACGTTGTCCTTGTGAAAACTTTTGTGAAATTAAAAAAAAAAGGAGTTACAAATTTTATTCTGTTATTGGTTTGTTTATTTTTGTTTATATTGTTCTGTTTGTGGTTCTGTTTATTTTGTTTGGCTTTGATTTTTTCCCCCTCCCTTTTCCCTCTCCTGTTCCCTTCCTCCTTCTCTTCCTTCCTCCACTCTCTAAACTGCTCAGCGCGATGAGGCTGTGCTGCTGCTCCTGCTAGATTCCTTAGAGTTTGTTTTGGTGTTCTTGGGTTTGGGGTTGGGTCATTTGGGGGGAACTTCTCTCCATCTGGCTTGCCTTTAAATCTGCACGTGGCCTCCCTGCCCACCTCAGTACCTTGCTCCAAGTCCAAAAGCATTTTCCCATCAAGAAACCCAGCTTCCTTCACTGCCCCACCCCATCACCACAGCCCACCCCAGCCCCCACCATCAGTCTGTTCACATCTCTGTGTTTATCTTGGCGAGACCCTAGCACCTCAAGTGATGATGCCAGTTGATAAACTTTTCTGGAAAACATGGACAGCTATTCCATTTGGCAAACCTGCTTCTCTGAATGTTCTGTCCTCCTTGTCTTTGTACCAGGAGGGTGGTTAATGGCAAAAGCATTGGTCTCTTTGATGTTTGAGCAGTGTGACCCGGAAGTAAAACTGTTCAGCTGTATGGATGGACTCAGGAGCCCCCACTCAGGGTTCTGGGGGCTGATGGCTCAGTTTCTGTAATACCCACAGCTCTCCTGCCACCTGCCTTTCAGAGACTTGTGAAACCCCCACCTGAGATTGGGCAGATAGAAAGAAGTAAATCAAAAATCTGTTTTATATTCAATTTGTTAATACTCTGATGCGATGATATTGTGATGGGACTAGAATGAGAACAGACTATGACATGAGATGAATTTTGGGGGTTTTCCCTGGACTTGGGGCACGTGAACCCCATTGGGAGATAATTAAGAATTGACTGCATTTGAGTCATGATGTATGTGATGATGGAAAAGGTATTGTTATTCCACTAGAAACTTTTCTCTTACACTGCACGTCATGGAGGGAAGAGTCTCTTCCACTGTTTTCCACTGGACCCAGACTTCCCCTTCTTCAAGGGCCTGTCTGCTCCCTTAGGAAGGAGGCTCACAAGTTGGTCAGATTGTCTCCCTCCCGCCTCTCCACCACCACCACCAGAAAAAAGGAAATAAATGGATTGGGATAGAGAGTGAAAAATTCTTTGAAGAGAAAGAACATGCAATTTAAAAGAACTAAGCCAAGAACTCAGTTTTCTGCCCCATTCTAGATACAAAGCAATTTGTAGACCATTCAAACTATTTGTAGACCATTCAAACTACTTTGAATGTGAAACTGGTAGACCAGGAGGCAGGCTGAAGCTTTCTCAACCTTAGCAGGCATCATGGATAACCCAAGACCCTCAGGACCACTACCCAGCATCCTTCCCGAAGCCAGTTCAAATGCATTAAGAGACAGCTGGACTCTTATATACTCGAGGGGTCTTTAAAAAGTTCATGGAAGATACACATTGCCATTAGTCTTATTTTTCCAGGAAGTATTTGAAATATCCACATATATTTAAATTTCTGTGACAATCAGGAGAGGTTTAGAATTCTAATCTGAATATTAAGGATTAGGTCTCTGGACCTGATTTGTAACAGGTGCTCAATAAATATTAGAAATAAATTGACCTTAAACAGTGTTATACTTTTAACCATTCCATATACTACTGTCCTTGTCCCCTTGGCTTATCTTAGCAAAAGAATACAATGAAGGCCTCCCACTGGCTCACCATGCTAGTGTGCTGGTGGCACTGTCCCTACTCGGGCACACAGCTTCTGAGAAAGCGGATGGCCCTGTAAGCTCAGTGCTCACAGAGTGGAGAGACTGACTGTGCCCCTTGGCTGCATCGTCAGGATCCCAGATGACCAGAAGAACCTTTTGACAGGCTCTTCTTCAGCTTGGGAAAAGCCTAAAGGCGTGTGCATCCCAATAGAGACAATTAAATCCAGCAGCCAGGTTCCTATAGCAACAGGCTCCTGGAAGGAGAAACCAGAGACTGCAGAAACTTCAGGGCCTGTGGAAGTCAAGACAGGGCAAAAATCAATTTCTCCATCAGTTTCTTTCAGCCCATGCCTGCTTTGTCATAATATGATAAAGAGGTAGCTGTGGGCACCTGTCACTATCCTGGCTGTCTCCCGCGAGCAGATTGCACATTTCATTGTAACCATGGCAGGTAAGCAGGATTAGCCCCCGACATCTGAGAAGAGAGAGTGAAGAGGTACCCCTCCCCTCCACTGGAAGGGTGTTGGTTCAACTAGGGCACACAGAGCAGGGCTGGCAAGGGGCAGTTTGCTCTGCCCAGCCAATGGCGGCATGAGACTTCCAGTTCAAAGAGACAAATAGAATCATGGTGGACAGTGGCAAAGACAGGAGGTGGTTTTAAGGGGAAGCTGCTTTGGCTCTGGTAAAAACGATGTTCATGTCTATGAGGTAGCCATACTTTGCTCACAGAGAGGAGAGGAAGCAGGAAGTGTGGGTGGGATGGCTGGGAGCGTCAGGCTGCCTGTGAGAAATGGGAACTGAAACCACACAGCCTTGCCTGTGAAGGCTGTGGATCCCTGTTAGCCCTCATTGTTTTCAACTGTTCTCTCTCTCCAAATGGCATCTCCTTTCAAACCTTTCCTAAGCTTCAGCTTGTGGTGCAGCGAACAGAGGCCAATTAGTCCCGACGCCTTGGCTGTATCGCTGTCTCCCCTGCGCTGTGTTCTTCTCTGGGGAGTAGTTATAGGAAAAGGCTAAATCCTACAGCACTGACAACCCACAGGGCCAGCAAAGGAGCTCCGTCTTAGCAGTGCAGCCTGTTTGTTCCTCTGCTTGTGGGACCCCAGGCAGCTCGGTCAGCCCAGGGCTGGGGCCCTTCTCCACCATAGCCTGCTCTTCTGGGATCACAGCTGACCTGCAGCAGCGTGACAAGAAGAGGAGGTCCTGACCTTTGTTCTGAACCCCGGCCCTCAGTACTGTCACTAGCAATGGCAGGCACTAGCGTGGATTCCTATAGTGAAATCCAGGATTGCAGAGACTGGTGGTCCCAGGGAGGGTAACTGCCTAGAAGTCCCCAGATGTAACACCAGGTGTCCCCTCCCTCTCCTTTACCTTGCCAACGAAGACCACCAACCACATCCCCCTCGGTCATCTCTGCCAGCACAATTCTTAGGCCAGTTCCCCAGCACATACACCACCACTCTTTACCTACAACTCGTCTGCTGAAAGACATCATTTGCAGCCACACCCAAAGGGACCAAAGGCCTTAGTATGGAGAGTGCTCACATTAATGCTAAAACTAACACCCTTGTGATTACTGTGGACCTAACCTCCTCCTTCATACTTTCCATATATTATTAACTCTTTTGATCCTCATGGAAACCTTTGTTTGAAAGGTGCAGACTCCAAGGACCCTAAATCCTCTGACATTAGCCACGATAATTTAATGCCTGCTAGTATTCTGAATAATCCTGGTAGCCTTAACCAACCCACATTTGCTCACCGTGTATTTCATCCTCATGGGCACCAGCTCCCTTGAGCTGAACACTAGTATTAGCATGGTCATGTCATGAACCCTGTTTAGCAGACGAGAAATGACGCTAAGATAAATGAATAGCTGGCTCAGAGTCATGCAAGTTGTATGTAAGAGAGCCAAGTCTGCCTGACTTTATCTACTACCCTGTGCCATCTCCTTGGCCTACGTCTCACTGTGTGTCCGAGGTGGACAGTTCCCGGCAAAGCTGGTCTGGAGAGATGACGTCTCCCAGTGGTGGTAGCCATTGTTCTCCAAGCATTTCTCTGCAGTGATGTCATCTGTTTTACTAGTTTCCGTGCCACACGCTGGGAAATCTCACTTTTTCCCTAGCACCACTGGCTCCTAACCGGGCACACCTTGTGCTCAGAGCAATGGCACTGTGCATTTCACCCTTACGAAGCTCATTTAGAGGTTGGGTTCTTTTTCTCAGGCAGTGAGGAGGCCCTCCCAGCCGCCAGGTCAAGTGCCCTTCTCATCTTAGGGATGAGAATGAAGCTCCCAGAAATCTCCCTGGCATGTGGGACAGGGCAGGGTGGAGATAAGCTCAGGGACTTGGAATTGTGCTGCACCACTTCAGCATTTGAATTCGGTCATTTGAATTCCCTCTCTGAGTCTTGTCCTTTGTGGCCCATTCTGTAGCCACCCACTGGCACAGTTCCTTCTCTGGAAGCCATGGTGCCATGAGCCAAAGCGTCATTGCCTGGCCTGAAGCACTCTGTTGAAGCCAAATGGCTGGTGATCATGAATAGCCTGTTCCTCTGAAGCTGTCTGGGAGAAATCTCATCAGAAAATACCTCTGCCACTGGACATTTTAGCACAACACCCGCAGCATGCATCCATGACCATTTTCCCAACACCCTCCCTAACCAAGTCCTCAACAACACATAGACCATAGGAGGCACCCAAATGAAACAGTCATTTCTCACACAGGGGGACAACCTCAAGCACACACGGGGAGTTGCTTTCACACTACACCCTCCTTGTGTTGAGGCTGCGTGGCCAAAACACAGGCGCTAGGCTACTTAGGTGTTTTTTAGTGGAAAGACATTTAGAAAGGAAAAAGAGAAGCTTAAATGGGGAAATAATGCTCTTTCTCACAGACAGCAGAAAGAAATTGATATTCTCTCTGCTGTGAAAGGTCGCAATGCCAACTCTGAATGGAACTGAGAGGACTAAATTCTGAACAATTATTCTCTGCAGCAGTTGTAAAAATTTCAGCAAATTGCCGCTGTCTTGGATCTTTTGCCCAAACGACCTCCTTGTTTCCATCAGCAGAGTCCCCTGTTCCAACCTGGCATGACCAACCTAGCACTAAATCCCTCTGCAAAATCTGTCCGCGAGGCAGCGGGGCCAAGACCGCGGGCAGCGCAGGCGAGCAGGGCACAAGCACCAGCCCCGCCTCTGGAAAAGCGCCTTTACCTATGAGCCGATGGAAAAAGTCGTAGTTTGAAATTGTTTCGGAGGCCTGGCGGTGCTTTTAGAACGTGATAACCATCACACTTTACTCCTCACTGAAAGGTTAGTTTAATCGTAGATCACAAAAAATTGGTTTCCACAAATGCATAATGGTTCATCTATGTCACACTTGAACTAAATGGTTTTTTAAATGGAGCTGAAATTATTTTGATGTGTACACAGTCCTGGATTTCTATACAACCTTTTTTAACCAACCCATCAGGAGCCTTGCCTCCAAAGTCTCATTAATAATTCAGATGTGCTGATGACTTTAAAAGATCTATGGAATTGAAGCTTAGGAAAAAAAAAAACTGTGCTTGACAAAAAGATAAATGAATGTAGAAAGAAGCTGTAGGAGCCTGGCAAGCTGTAGATCATCTCAGAACAGATTGTAACTTTATCATTCTGTCAGGGGGAATAATTTAAAGCACTTAATCAGTTAGCTTCACTGTGAGGATGTAGCATTATGAATTCCTATCGTCCAATCTGTTCAAATCAAAGTGAACTTAATTATAATAGGTGAGAGAGCCAGAGTAGGAAGGGGGCAGGGAGAAGGATGCCAGAGGTAGCCAGTTTGCAGAGGAGTAAGCTGAGTAGCCGAACAAAGGGCTTCACCCAGGCACACCCAGGCACACCCAATTTCAGCGGCAGAACCTTGGCGACATTAAGACCGCAGGACGCTTGTAGCAGTAAAAGGGTGGACCGAGGAGGAACACACAGTGTGATTTGGAGCTGATCATAAATGCTCAGTTTACAAGCTAACAAAACAATGGATACATACACACACACACACACACACACAGAGGCATGCACCCAGCCAGGTGAGCAGTTTTTATGAACATCCAGGACTAGTGACAGGGCATCTGTGAATTGCACCGATAGGCAGGAGACAAAGCTGGAGGGGCTGTTGTCTCCATAGCATGGGGTGTGCTGAAAGACTTTGTCATTTCTCCTTCCTTTCCCTAAGCCACTAACATGAGGCATAGGATTCTCAGATCAGAATGTCCTATGTGCCCAGTCCCTTCCTGTCTTCACACATGGCCAATTTCCCGGACAATTTCCATTCTAGAAACAGGCGAGGATGAGAGCTGAGCTGTATAAAATAGCGCTGCCCTGCTGAGAGGATGCTAAGACCATTTTTGTTCCAAGCCTGAACACCCTGACTCAGCACTGTCTTTCCCATTTCTGTATTTAGGGTGGAAATGAAATGCTCCCGTCAACAGCGTGGGTTAGTATAGTCCCTCAAGACAGTGCCACTTGAAACACTTTTTATAACCTGATCCCAATCCAGAGGTCTGTTTCTTGAACTAAAAAACCATCTCAAAATCCTCTTGAGAACATGGGCTTCCATTTTGAGTTTCACTCTCCTTGGCTAGCAAGTGCTGCGTACTTACTTTAAGATCTCCAAAAGTGACTGCAAAATAATTAGAAGAGAGAGTTGAGATACAGCTTGAAGTCTGGTTGCTAGCAGGAGAGCAGGGTAAAGGCTGGGTGGTGGCAACCCTGAGGAAGTATCTAGATCATTCGCTCTGCAGGACGGACGAGGGCCTTCTGTCTTCCACTGCAACCCAAGGAGGCACAGGCCTTTCCGCAGGTCCAGTGTCTGTACCCAGTATCTGATACAGGCAGCTTCTTCTCCCCACCAGCTTTTCAAGCCACTCACATAGCTCAACATGGCCAGAGCTCATCTTCCAGCCCCTCGTGTTCTCTGAGGTCCATTCGTGGTAACTGCAAGCCCCAGAGGCACACTGTGTTGGGCCCCGGCTGCAGGAAGCAGAGGTATGTCTCAGATTCTGGGTCCTCCCCACACTGCACTGGCTCCCTCGGCAATGACTCACTGTCGGCTTCTATCAGTTACCTTTTTTGCATTTTTCATTGAACTGTCCGAAAGCTTTACCCTAGGACTAATTGAGCTTCTCGTTTCTCCTTCTTGTTCTCTGTCCATTTCGCCCTTTAGCAGAAAAGAAATGGTTTACAGATGAGCCGGATAATGCCTATCCCAGAAACATTCAAATCAAGCCCATGAGTACTCACATGGCTAACCAGATCAACCAATATAAATCCACAAGCAGCTTGATTCCACCAATCAGAGAAGTTGAAGATGAATGTTGATTCCCAGGAGACCAGAACTATTTTTTTAAAGCCTGACAAACTTCATAATGGTGACGTGACTTTTCTTCCTCTTACATCCTGAATCACTGGTGGAAACGTTAGGATAAGCAAGAATTGCAAGAAAATAAAATAGACAGATCTTTCTCGTGGTCGGCCTTGAATATTGCTTCCATGTACTTTGGAAACGAAAATGATTTCATTTATAAATGAACACACTAAAATAGTCATGTATAGCCTCTAGCATTTTAAATTATTTTTATTTATTAGAAAGAAAATATATTTTTCTTTTTCTCATTGTCAAATATCTGCCCTATATCTACACAATGCAAAATCAAAATGAGTCAAGTGGCCAGACTCCTTAACACATATTTCTCTTCTTTCTCTCTTTTTCTTTGAGGAGAATGATGGTCACATCACCACAGTTAATTGTAAATTAAGGGAAATGGAATATTAACTTTAAAATGGCCAACGATGTATACATGTATTTTAGTAAAGCCAAAAAGATAGAAAACAAACAAACAAACAAACACAACAACCACAAGAAGACAAAAGGGGGCAACTGACTACCTGCTTCGTTCCTGGATGGGTGTGTATTTTGATCAGCATTGACACCAGCTCTTAATAAATGGAAAACTTATTTATTTTCACAGTTGAAAGTCATATTTTTGTAGTTTTAGTTTCCATTCTGTATTTCTCATCCCTTGGCTCATATCTTTTAAGGGAAGACCTTCTTGCTGCTTTACTATGACTGCCAGGTGAGGTTTACCTGGCCAACTCATGCTGCCAGGAAGGTTGTGGGCACCCCTGGGGTGAGGAAGTTGATGACCAGATAGACTCATGCCATGTGTCTATTGGTGGGGACTCCTACATGCTGTGATGCTTCTTATTTCATATAACCAACACACCAGAAGGAATTTCAACTTTGGAGGGTCTGGTGGACTTTTCCCCCACTCCTCAATTCTCAGAGCTTGCAGTCTGAAAATTTGTAATCATCAATGAATTGTTTTAATAATAGGATATGAGAATGCATTCATTCTTCTTACTATGTTTTTGTTTAAATGCCAGAGAATTGCCAGGATCAAGGAGACAACTTTAGCCCAGATTTTATTTTGTAGACTTTATTTTGTTGCTGGAACAAAATACACAAAGTTGCTACAATAATTAAAAATTAATCTTAATGAAAAAGGAAAGCAACAAACGTACTTCACACAGACTGTTAGAACAGGCCTTTGAAAATTACCAGCAGTGAAATCAAACGTATCAACCACTTCAAATTGTGGCCAAAAGATTATTGTAGCCATCAGAGACAATTATGGCTCAGAGTTCTGCTGTCACTTGCATGCTCAGTATACAGTCACCCAACAACCATTTTGTTCCGAATGACTTAGCAAGTCTTTCAACTTCAAAATGATCAATCTTTGATACGATCGTCAGGGTCTCTGGAGAAGCATGAATGTGATTGTGATTTTTATTTTCTTAAAAATTTTAACTGTGGACACTTAAAGAACCAAGCTAACCAAAGTATCCCACAAAGTCCAGTGATGACTACTGCGTTAACACCTTAGGCCATGGCCCTGTGGTGCCTAGTTCTGGTAGTACAAATCAGATCAGAGCAGAGCAGTGTGATCACCATGCAAACATGTCCACTCAGTACTCCAATTACCAATGTAGGCAAAACGAGCTTCCACTGCTCTCCACTCCCTGCAGAGCCAATGTAGCTGTGCTTCCACCTCATAGGCATTGTCCTGCAGTGACTCGTCGGACTGTGGTTTCTCTGTCGTCAAATTTTGTAGACTTAGTTCTATAAAAGTACTGTGAATATAATGTATGTCCAATTGGATTGTTTAAAAACTACTTATAATTAACCACTAGTCTACTCTGCAGATGAAAATGATGTCAACGGTCTATATTCAGACTTATAAACATCTCTTGGTTTCTAACAGAAGTCAAACGTGTTTGTGGGAAGAACTCTGCTAGGATTTGGATGACTTTCCTGAGAGCTGGGCCTTCCTTTTGCATACTGATTTTGCATTGGGCTCACCTTAGTCCATTCACGTCAATCCACGCTCTTTTTCCCTTCATGAACCATAGTGGGCTCCTTCTTCACTTCTGTTCCTCACAACTACCTTGTGAATTTGTCACAGCTATTTGGTCTCCCCTTGCAGGTGATGGTGGCCACCAAAGGATCTTCCATTACAGGAACACAGCACAGTTCTCCATGTCCCCCACCTTGTCCTCCCTCTGTTGTCTTCAAACCAAGGCAGTCCAGAAGTAGAAGTACGAACTACGGCTAGATATTTGAGCCTAATTTTTTAAAAAAAATCATAATGGTTAAGATGTTTTCCCACAGCACCCCAACAACCCAAATTGGTAGAAACACATTTATGCTTGGTAGAGCATTTTTCTGTCAAAGTAGAGCAACGCATTCATGCTTGCCTTTGTAACAATGAATTGTTCTGGACCAGGGAACAAGATCAGGCTTTTTTTTTTTTAAAGATAAATAAAATGATGATGGCCCCTTTGGCGAAAATTGGTGCTGGGTAAATTAACAGTGAACTGGAAAAGGGAGAAGATTTGTAAGGCTACTGGAGGATTCAAGGGAGTATAAGAGCTTCCTTATTTGTTTCTATTTGTTCAGTTCTTTGCCTCTAGGTCCCTCTCCAGCTCAGCTGTAAAAGACTTTTGCCACTTCCATCTGGTCTGAACCAATGATGATCTTCTTTGGAATAGTCCCTCTTATGAGACTGTGGTCTCCCCTTCAAGTTTAGAGTTCCAGAAAACCTGTTTTCTGAAACTGATGACTCTTGGGTGCTTTGGGAATCACTCACCAATGAACTGTTGAAAAAGCAGAAAGTATCTCTTTACAACTGTAGCACCACCATCTTCACCTTTCTCATTGAGATAAAAACTTATTTTTGTCTAAATATTTGAATAATTTAGAATATCGCCTCTAGCCAATATAAAACACCTTAAATAAAAGTGCTTGAGACTAAGATACGTTGGAAAACACTCAAGCTCTTGAATTCTAAGGATAATGACATCTTATAATGCACTTTGGGGAGATCTTTATCAATGACATTAAATGAACAGACAATCAGAACCATTTGATTAGGTTTGGAAAGGGGGAAAAGGAAAAAGCCTAAGAAACTTGGGGATACTTTCATGTTGAAAGGAGAAAAGAGTTCAAGTTCACTACTTCTGGTTTGACATGGGGGTTTGAGACCCATATCTGCAGCAAACTAGCTATAAGCTTTGAAAACTCTCTCTGCATGTCCCAAATTTCAGAGGGGAGAGTCACTGAGACGGCTCCCAGGTGCTTCCAGATCCGAGAGGGTGTGATCTACGTGAGGGATGGAAACCTGCCTGGCTGCCTCTCCTTGGCCAAGCCCTTGGAGACCACACTGCCTAGGGCTGAAATAATGGTCATTCTTGCTGTATCACCCAAGCCATACTTCTGACCTTAAGATTGTGTACAATTGCTCTGCACATGGTGTGCTTAGGTTCACTGTTGCATTTTCACTTTGGAGTCTCCTTAGGTCCAACATGCAGATATTTCTAGATCAACATACCCAAATCACATAGACCAGATTTTTCCATTTCTGAGTAGTTTCTTCACAATATGATTCCCGCCTGCTCTTTTCCTTGGTTTAAGGTCAGGGTTGAGTTAAGCCCTTCATCTTAACTCCAAGAGTTAACTCTTACAACAAGAGGCTCAAGATGCCCAAATTTCTCCTGTTTTCCCCATTTTGTTTCCTAGTTTGGATCTTGGATTCCAGAAGTAAGCAACCTTAAATTTTCACTTCATTCCATTATTTGTGTGTGTTTAGCTTTTCATTAATATACTAACCATCTCTTTGCTACTTACATTCACATATGTAATTTGAATCTATCATTTTTCATTGTGAAAGAAAACCTGATGGAAGGGACTGATGAAGGAGGAAAGGCAGAAAGGAAGAAAGAGAGGACTGGAGGGAGAGAATGAGGAGGAGGGAAGAAGACAGGAAGGTAGGCGGGGAAAAACGGAGGAAGGAGGAGAGGCAAAAATCAACACAGTGACTAGCAGGTGAGCCATCTTGGCTTCTGAGAGCCCAAGCAAATCTATTCAACTTGGACACTGAGTTCCAGGGCAGACCCTGTCCTGTTTCTGTCCCATTCCTGTTTGCCGCTTCGGGAACACTGGTAACACTACCAACCACTCTGGCCCTCCAAAGGGTTTTCACTCATTAGCTCTTGACCCAGCCTCTTTCAAAAAAGCAAACGGGACCGAGAATTCACTTATAGCCTTTCTCCCCTCTCCTGTTTACCTCGTATTCCCAAAGAGCAATATCCCCCCTGTCCAGCAGAGATGACGTAGCATTCACATCCCTTGGTCATTCAACGAGGTGGTGAAGCCCTTTGGATTTGTTTCTGAGCAAGTAGGCCCCACTGATGGTTTCCAGCCAGCGTGTACCTGTGTGGCCATATTGGATGTTTCAGCAGTCTGTTTTGACTGGTTGCTGCCCATGCAGTACTAATTGTTAGTAATTTGCATATTTGCATAGAAGTAAGACAGTTCATAAATGTTTTTAATTTCATTTCTAAAGAGACTCTGTAGCCAAATTTTCCACTCCTGTAGGAGGCATTCTTAAAACACAGACAGACGGGAGTCCATGTGTCTCTGGGCAGGAGTCCTCCTTAGCCCCACCGTGTTTGGTAGCTCCATGATGTCATGGCCTTCCCAGGTGGACTGAAGGAATTCCAGCTGGACTGTCTGTTCCGGGCCTTTCTCTGTATTTTTTAATTAGGAAAATGGGCCTGAGAATGCCCCTAAAAACAAGCCCCTGACCCCAGCTTCCTGCAGATGCAGACCCTGGGAGGCAGCAGTAGTGGCTCGGGGCATTGGGTTCCTGCTCAAGTAACTGAAAGACTTGGACTGAGTTCCCGGCTCCGGCCGGGGCCACTGCGGGTGCTGGGGGAGTGTATCGGCGGGTGGGGAAGCTCTTTCTTTCTCTTCCCCCTCACTCACTCTTACTCTACATTTCTCTTTGCCTCTCAAATACATAAAAATATTAAAATTAGAAGCTTTCTAAAAACAAATAAGAATAAGCCAGACTTGGGACATATATTAAGGAACTGAGAAGAAAACAAAATGTTAAAAGCGGCATTTAGAAAAACACTTTATTTATTTGGTGAGAGGGAGGGATGGTGGGGGCAGAGAGAGAGAGAAGAACATCCATCTGCTGGTCTACTCCCCAGATGCCCTCAACAGCCAGGACCACGTTAGGCTGAAGCCAAGAGCTGGAAACTCAGTCCAGATCTCTCACTCGGGTGGCAGGAACCTAACTGCTTGAGCCATCCCTGCTACCTCCCGGGGTTGGCACTGGTGGGAAGCTGGAGCCAGGAGTTTCAGCTGGGCCTCCCTCTCAGCCACTCTAATGTGGGACACACAGGCATCTCAGCCACCATCCTGAATGCCTGCTCCCCTAAGCAGCAGCTTAAGAAATGTGAGCCAAGGGCATGCTGTTTGTGGTGCCAAGAGCTAGAGTGGGGGGAAAAAGGTGTTGTATTGAATTGCATAGTTTGGGAAGAATGCAGAGCAAAGTAATGCTTGATGGACTTTGGAGATATTTCAATAGGAAATGAGTGGCTAGACAGGAGAGAGGTGGAACACGAGGAGTTTCTAGGATGAAAGGGCTTCAGTGGGCCGTGACACATTGGTAGGAATGTGATTTCAATAAATAGACCATTTGCCCATGGTGATAATTTTATGTAGGGGAGCTGAGGAAAACTAAGACGAGACTACTTAGAAAGGGCTGAAGAGTAGGTAGTCTACAGGGCAAGCTAAGGAGTTGAAAGTCAATGCAGAAAGACACAGGCAACCACGACAAGTTTGAAGCCGAGAGGGATGGGCCGCACTGCCCGTGCACTGTTGAGTGTGACCATGGCTGGGAGTCCTCACGGGACTGAACACAGTGCTGAACGCTGGGGTGCCGCACTGAGCCAGCAGCTCACCCTGGAGTTCCTCTCTCCCCGACGCACTTTGCATTCAGATATAAGGCACCGCTGCTCCGCTGACTTGCCAGATCATCAGTAACAGGCTCACATGTAGATTCGAGGGGAGGATAGATATTCTGATGTTTTCAAAGTTTACTGATTGTTCTACCTTACAGATCTGGCTATAACAAAAGCATGAGGCAGGCCATCGGCAGATTGTACAGAGTAACCCATATCTCAGAACACCAGATGAGGGTCCCCATTATTAAAACCTCCTGCAAGGTTATCAGGCGACTACTGCTTAGGAGCCAGTCAACAGTCAGTCAATATTTATAAAAGGAGTGGAAATGGGCAAAGGGATGAAGATTCTAAAGGCATTGCTATCAGTCAGCATATAGCTCAACTAAGAAGAGAAACACACACTCGAAAAACCACTAGGGGATGGCGCCGCAGCTCACTAGGCTAATCCTCCACCTGCGGCGCTGGCACCCCAGGTTCTAGTCCCGTTTGGGGCGCCAGTTCTGTCCCGGTTGCTCCTCTTCTAGTCCAGCTCTCTGCTGTGGCCCGGGAAGGCAGTGGAGGATGGCCCAAGTGCTTGGGCCCTGCACCCACATGGTAGACCAGGAGGAAGCACCTGGCTCCTGGCTTCAGATCGGCGCAGCGCCGGCCCTGGCAGCCATTTGGGGGGTGAACCAATGGAAGGAAGACCTTTCTCTCTGTCTCTCTCTCTCACTAACTCTGCCTGTCAAAAAAAAAAAAAAAAACAAAAAACAAAAAACAAAAAACAAAAAAAAAAAAACTAGGGAAAGAGGCAGCACTAATGGCACAAAGTCATCTTTCAAGACTGGGGGGACATCTGGGGTCTGAAGTGGTCCCAGAAGGTTGGCTTCATAGGAAAAGGGGAGTGGTGGAGTTGGGTGTGTACGGGGACGGCGTTCCCAGTTCGAGGGCAGGACCACCTGTGGCAGTGTGGGTGACCTTAATCAGTAACAGCCAATGGAGACCTATTGAGTGCTTACTGTGTGCTCGCTGCCCCGTAAGACTTTTAGGCAAGATGGCCCATAAGTCTCTAGAACCTGGGAAGTGGGAAACATGGGGAGGACGCTTAGGACCAAAGGGAGAGTCACCGTGAGACTGGAGAGGAAGCCTTTGGGAGATGGTGACTCAGAAGGAAACAGATTCCCTTGGAGGGCGAGGGTGTTGCTTCTTTGTCTTTAGCCACAGAGCCAGGGGTGAGGCTGGCCAGCTGGGTAGTCCCCCGCCCCTCTGTGCGACTCTTGGTGTCCCAGGGGACAGAGGTTGCACAGGAGCCTCGGTCACTGGCACTCCTGGAAGATTCGAAAGACAGGGATGGTGAGGCGACCTCATCCTTCACCTTCTGTTTATGTCACTCATGCCACCACACAGAACATGCCCTGGAAGCTTTGGTTTGCAAGGTTTTAAAAAAAATACAGTCTCCTCTGCTTCTTTTTTTTGGGCTTTCTGGACAGGCGGTGTGAGGAGAGATGCCTGGGCCAGTTGAAGACTGATCTTTCTCGGTACAATTGTACACTTAGGTTTCCTCCAGCCCTTTCACGTCCTTGAGGATTTCTGTGTCTCTTCTCCACCTCCGTCTTGTCATTCAGCAGGACAGGGATGCGAAGGACAAGAAAGCTCTCCAATGCACCTGTGTTGGCAAGCAGTTCTGGCCCCGTTGTTTGGAGTCTCAGATGCAAACACACACACGCACCAACACACACCTGCCAGAGTGACCCAGTGCTCCCCTCCCTGGGTCAGTGTGAGAGGCAAGCAGCAGAGAAGGAGCCCTAATAGGAAGGTAGACAGCACCCCACTTCCCCTCAGCACCAGCCGAGCCCCGGCCACCTCACTTCTCTTCCTGTCCTTCTGAAACACGCTTGACCAAGCTGCACTGTTTCCAACATAAACCAAGATCTGCCTGGAAATGCTAATTAGAAAGTGTCCATTGCCAGGTGACACCATCACATGCTGCCTAAAACTTCTGGTCACCTCCCCCCACCCAGACACTAACAGGAAACCACTGAGCTCTGAACCCTGCACTCACAGTGTCTTCAGGGGACAAAGAAAAAGATACAACACAGGCAGAGGTCAGCCTTCATGTTCATTAAGGAAAAAGAGCGTGGCTTGTTCATCTGTCTTTCACACTTTTGATTGTTGGCATGAGGATGATGATAGGACGATGATGGCGACAACGATGACGATGACCTAACAGGCATTGCAGAAGAGAAAAACGCTGGTGCTCTGACATGCTCAGCCCAACTCTGTCATCTGTAACAACCAGTGATAACTCTCTTGTCTTGTAAAAAGGGTTTGTACATAACTTGTACATGGTTTCATTTTGTATTTTTCACAGATTAAAAATTTATGTATTTGTGTTCTAAAACCAGGAGTGTTTTTTTGTGTGTCCTTGTAGCAGTCGCACAGCCCTGGGGGGTGGGGAGGGTGGGGGGTGGTGTTGGCAAAGTCCTTGAGTTCATTTGGGACTGCTCTGTTCTCCCTCTCCCTCTCTCTCCTTTCCCCTCTCTCTCCACATCTGCAGTTCTCCCTTTCTCCTGTCTCCCTCTCTCTCTTCTCTCCCCCCTCCTTTCTTCCCCTCTCCCTTTTCCCGCTCTTCTTTCTCCCACTCCCTAGCTCTTATTCTTTCTCTCTACCTCTCTCTCTCTCCATCCCTCCCTTTTCCTCTCCTTCTCTGTGTTTCTCCATCTCCCCTCTCTTCCCTCTCCCTCTTCCTACTTATTCTCTCTCTCTTGCTAGCTCACTCTCACTCACTCTCTCTCTCTCTCTCACCAAAACCCCCACAACTCCAAGTGCTGCCCAAGGCTGCAACAGGCAGTGAGGGAGACGAAGAGATGCTGCCGTTGGCTGTGGTGCCTGACATGCCTATGGGGTTACACCATGGTCAAGGGGACCACACACCCCCTCACAGAAGGTTCCAGCACACAAGCTTCGAAGAAATGGGTGGCATTTGGCAGACCTTTAAGAAGCTAGGATGTTGGCTCTTTAGCCATCTGCTCTCAAGCTAGTTATCTTTGCATGCCATCTGCATGGAGAAGCAGTGTTCTTTCCCCTGCACTTGCTTGTCACAGCCCAGGACAACTTGCTAAAGATGTGCTTCATCCAGGTTCACCCTCGCCTCCAACAGCATAGCAGACGAAACTGGGGCTCAAGGCCAAAAAGACCTCCTAGAAGCCAGTGCAGTTCAGGGCTGGGTTTGGATCTGTTTCAAGACCCTGTGAGGGGGAACTCCTTTCAGGAGTCTGAACTTCCAGGTTAGGGTTGGATTGGTTTTGAAGAAGGGGAGGAGCTGGAGTCTGGGGAGCACTGTCCAAGTGTCCTTCGTAATGCACAGAATGTGTTGGCATTTAATGTCTTCTAGAGACCGCCTCATTGATGCATTAGCTACCCATTTACTGTGCAGTGGTAATGTTCATGCTCCTCTGCTGGGAGCTGCAGATACAACAGAGTGATGTGATGACCCCAGGCCTCCTCCTGGGGAGGAGGCGACCAGCAAACAAGCAGGTACCAGTCACGTATTAAAAACTAATCTGGCAGGCTGGCGCCGCGGCTCAGCAGACTAATCCTCCGCCTTGCGGTGCCGGCACACCGGGTTCTAGTCCCGGTCGGGGCGCCGGATTCTGTCCTGGTTGCCCCTCTCCAGGCCAGCTCTCTGCTGTGGCCAGGGAGTGCAGTGGAGGATGGCCCAAGTGCTTGGGCCCTGCACCCCATGGGAGACCAGGAGAAGCACCTGGCTCCTGGCTCCTGCCATCGGATCAGCGCGGTGCACCGGCCGCAGCGTGCCAGCCGCGGAAGCCATTGGAGGGTGAACCAACGGCAAAGGAAGACCTTTCTCTCTGTCTCTCTCTCTCACTGTCCACTCTGCCTGTCAAAAAAATAAAAATAAAAAAAATAAAAAAAAAACCCTAATCTGGCTGGACAGCACAGGATGCTCCCCAGAACTCGTGGGAGGGACACTTAGCTGTTTGAAGAACAAGCCACCAATTGATTGATACTTTCAAAAACAAATCCGCATCCTACTGAAGCCAGTAAGAGCCAGGGCCGGGGCTGCTTCCCTGGGGACAGCAAGTGCACTACCTGTCGGAGTGTGCCAATTCCCAGCAGTCCCCTGCGCCGCAGCCTCTCAACGCGCCTTCTCCAATATTTGCTAACAAATCTGAATGTTGTTGGGGAATGTAATCGCAGAGCATATGGTCCCCATTAGTTAGGCAAACTTCACTGCCAAGTCCAGCGCCAAGGAAGGAATCTGCAGAAAGGATGAAGTATTAGGAAAAGATCAACAGTGACAGAGAAGGCAACTCAAAGAGACGAGACAGTGAGATGCAAACAGCAGGCGCCACACACCCGGCCCAGTGAAGGCAGGACATACTTCCCCATGTGTTGAGAAAAGGATATTTGTGAATTTCTACTAAAACCATCTCTGGAGCAAAAATCAAAGTAGATCGTTCACTGGAATCCATGATAACCGTGTTGCAATGTCAGAATAGATAGATTCTGCCTGGGAGGGAAAATAAACATGGAGGCAAACAGAGCAGACAGGATGCTAAGGACAGAAAGCATGCACGACTTAAAATGTAAATAGGGACTTAGTGCTTTGAATGGACTCTGAAAAGTTCATGGACAAACGGAATTAAAATGTAAGTCTATTTTGGTGCCAAAAAATATTGAAATCCATGCATAGTTTTTTCATCACCTGCATTGTTTATGAATGTTTTGAAGACCCCTTGTATGCATACATTTCAAATTTCTTTTTGGTACCAAAGTGAACTTTTGTTTTTATTTTCCATAAGCATTTGAAAATATCCTCATGTTTTAAATGTTACTGCACTGGGCCTTTGCAAAGAGAGACAGAGCCTCATGCTGGCTACTCTTGCATATTCAGAGACTTGCAAACTATAGGCCAGGTCCCCAGAGACCCAGAAAAACTGATGATGCAAGATGGGGAGCATGGAGTGTCGTCAGGCGGAAAGCATTCTCCCCAGCCCTCACCTGTTAGTTGCTGAAAATCATGGAGGAAGCAGGGTGGTACTACGTGGGCCTACACCCACTACCCATCACATATGCCTAGGTATTTGGTCTGCTGTATTAGTATCAACTCTATGCTTAATTTGACAGATTTTTTTTCCCTTTTTGTTTTCTTATAAGAATGATTTGTTTATATTTGAAAGGTAGAGTGATGGGGTGGGGGAGAGAGAGAGAGAGAGAGAGAGAGAGAGAGAGATCTTTCATCTGCTGGTTCATTCCTAAATGGCTGTAATGGCCAGAATTGAGACTGATGAAAGCCAAGAGCTTAGAACTCCATCCTGGTCTCCCATGTGGATGTCAGGAGCCCAAACACTTGCACCATCTTTCACTGCTTTCCCAGGCACACGTGCAGGGAGCTGGATGGGAATTGGGGCACTCAGGACTCAAATGGGTGCTGTGATAAGGAATGCCAGTGTGGCAGGTGGCACCTTAACCTGCTGTGCCACATGCTGGCCCCTGACAAATCTTCTTAAGGCACTTTACCTAAATTGAGTTTTCCCCAAAAAATAAACAACTCATTTTTCTAGAGCCAACATCCTCTTTCTCATACCACTATTTCTTTGGTTAATATACTATTCAACTAAACCTCATAATAAGCACACACGTTCACATGTTTAAACCAAATTTGGACTGCTGGTAAGTTCAACTTGTGAAAGCTCACTCAACAAGGTGCACGGTTTCAGCGACCCATAGGGAATGGTTGGCTTACTCCCAGTGAAAAGAATAGAGACAAATCTGGCTGCCTGAGAAGTGCTTGGT